GGGCTGGAGGACCACAGGCTGTGACCATGGGGTCCCATCTTACCTGATCCTTCTTGAGCGTGATCTGCCCGATCTCCCGGTTCCCCACGAAGGAGCGTGTCACCTTGTGCACCCGCTCGCCTGCCCGCACCCGGATGATGAAGTTTGGAGGGAAGTAGCCAATTTTTTCACCAATCTTTCCCTGAAAGAAATAGATGGGTGCGAGGTGGGGGTTGGAGCCAATCTGTATGACCCCCAGATTCCCCCCATAACAAACAGCCTGTAGGTTGTGGGACACATGAGGACACAGCAGATTTAGGGGGCTGTGTCCCCCTTAGAGTGTAATTTGCACTCCCAGCTGACCTCTCCTTTTGCTTTAAGCTCTGCATCTTTCCCCTCTGTGCTTGTAGGACACCAGCCTTACCCGCCACCACTCCTCATTGGAGTCATCGACCACTGTGATCTTCTCCCCTGGCCTGTGAAGGGAAGGAAGAGCTCAGTGTGAGGGGCAGCAGGGACCCCCCCTGCCATGGGAGACCCTGAGGTTGTCAAGGAAAATTGCTTTCCATAGAGCCCTGTGTCAGAGGAGGTCAAGGACCACACGCAGCCCGTGGGCTCAGGGACAGACAGGTCCTGTACGTGAGCAGTTCACCCTCAAGTCTGGGGTGCAAGAAATCAGTGGAATCACATCAAGACAAAACACCAGCAGCCTTGGAAATGAGGCTGGTGCCCAAAGCCTGGGAGCTGGGAGAGCTGGTTCAGTGAGAGCCAGGACCCCCACTCAATGCCCACATTGGGTCAGGCAGAAAACCCACAAAACCCAAACCACAGCTGGCATGGCTCTAATTTCTGCCCTCACTCACTCATTCATTCATTCACAGAGCCCTCCTGGCCACAAGAACCTCATTGTTGAGGTGAAGACTTCTCCCCCTCCCCACTGGACACCCCACGTCCTTCCCCTCATCACTCCTGTGCCCACTACATGGCTGGGAACTTACGGGAAATCCAGGTCATCTTTCTCCAGGGCTTTGAAGCGATAAAGTGCCACGAAGTAGTGAGACTGCAGATAGCCACCACGAATCCCTGGCTGTGGCTTCTTGCTCTGGGGGAGGAGAAAAGAGGGGTTTAGGGCCCCAGAAAGGCTGAGGACAGCCCTGGAGAGCCCAGCAGGGAGATCCCTGCAGCCTCTGCTCATGCTGCTCCAAGGCTGCGGGCCTTTGGGGTGTAGAGTGAGGATGAAGGCTACCTTGTCATCTGTTGTGCTCTTCTCAGTCTTCTTGTCCCCTTCAGAGGTGCCTGGAAATGGGAGGAGGGGGTGTTACATCTCTCCTGGTGCTGCCTCCCCACCCTGGCACTAGCCTCCTCCCAAGGGTCTCCTGTGCCCAGCTCAACGAGAGCCCCAGAGGGTGGAGACCTGAACTAAAGACCTGTTTTCTGAAGGGCAAAACCCACCTTGGTGGGCTCCCCAAGTACAGTCTCCCCATCAGACTCTGTCCCTGCCCCGTGCTTATGGATGGAGCTCAGACCCCCCCCCAGTTCCTTTTCCCCCGTGTACAGCCCGCCCTGCCATGGCCACAGCACTCACCGCCCTCAGTTTTGCCCTCCTGTGGCTTCGTAGCCTCCGGTTCCTCATCCATCATAGCAGCCAAAGGCTACAAGGCAGAGAGTTGTCAGGGGGGTGCAGACCAGGCAAGGGAAGTGGGGGTGGAAATGGGGTGCAGGCTGCGATGCCAGGACCCTTGGGCATTGGGAGCGACGGGCAAACCCCACACTCACATTTTTCTTGTCGTCCTGCCCTTTCTTACGCTCCTTGTTGGCCATGATGACGCCCGTCCGCAGGGTCTCAAACACGGGGTCACTCCTGTTGGCTGCTGCAGAGGCACAGGGATGGTGAGAGGGGTTCAGTTCCAGGATGTGAGGAGATGGGGCAGCCCAGTGTGGGGACAGCACTTACAGAGCAGGTCCTTGACGCAGGCGTATTGCTGGTCACTGTAGAGGGGTGAGCTGTACGCCCGGCGAAACCCTGGGGGCTGGAAGGAAAGAGGAGGTCAGAGCATCATCACCCAGACCCGTGGGCTCTTCTGTGAGAGCTGAAGGGGGAGAGGGTGGGTTTGAGGGACCCAGAGGGGTGACCACTTCGCAGGGGGGTGATGCCTGGGTCCCACCCTCGGAAGGGAGGTGGGTCATGGCACTTGGGTCATGCCCACAGGGACAGAGCCAGCCGCTCCCTGCCGCAGGGC